AAGCACTCACAGGGTAAGGACTCTGGGATGGAGTATTTTGGAGTGCAAATAAATCTTTAATTATTTAATTATTATTTTTTAAAAAATAAATTACATGCATATGCCCTTGGCTTTGCTAAGTTCTTACCAGAACGTTTCTTTGTCCTTATACTCTACACTGATGCACAAACACAATTACAGTACATACAGTGGTGCCTCGCAAGACGAAATTAATCCGTTCCGCGAGTCTCTTCGTCTTGTGGTTTTTCCGTCTTGCGAAGCACGGCTATTAGCGGCTTAGCGGCTATTAGCGGCTTAGCAGCTTTAAGAAAAAGGAAACAAACTTGCAAGAACTCGCAAGACGTTTCGTCTTGCGAAGCAAGCCCATAGGGAAATTTGTCTTGCGGAATGACTCAAAAAACGGAAAACCATTTCGTCTAGCGAGTTTTTCGTCTTGCGAGGCATTCGTCTTGCGGGGCACCACTGTATTGTTCAATTGTGTTTAGGATCACCCTTCACTATCTGTGTACAGCAAGGTTTAGGGAAATTATTTGTCCATAGCTAGGCAGCTCTGTTTGCATATTATCTGCATAATCTTGTCTTGACATGGCAGATAATCGTTTTTCAAAGAGAGGTGGATGGAAGGAATGGTGATCTAAAAGAGGGCAACTTCTAGTAACAGGCCAATCTTGGCCCACCTGTCTTCCTCATTTGGCCGGTGAGGTCATTTTGAGCAAGCCATTCTCACCTGCTCTGCACCCGATGCCATACAGGTAAGGACGGGGCTTGGCTAAGTCCACTTTGTGCAGCTCCCAAAGCGCCGCACAACCCACTGGTTGCCAGGAGCCTTTGAAGCACTGCAAAAAAGCGAGGACTCAGCACTAAGCAGGATTGCTGCTCCTTCATACTGACACGCAAAGGGAGAATGATCCTGCTGAGCTTGGGCACAGGGAGCCTTCTGGTGTGCCTGAACTCAGCGGTCAGCAGAATCGCTCGCTCCCCCCGTGGGAGAGGAACTGACCGACCCAGTTTCCTGCTGGGCTCAGGAGAGTGATCGGGGGTGCCAGTTTCCTGCAGTTTCCACCACCCTTTTAAAAGATTGCTGAAGCAAGCTGTAAGCAAGCATAAATCTGACCAATAGGTAAAGTAAAAATATCTAACAACTTCAGACCAAGTAGCCTGAAGGCTGATGGCAATAAGACCTAGAATCACCTGCCCCCCCATCTCTCCATCTTTTATGACTCAGAACAAAAAGGTGAAAAGGTCTCCAGAATTCTTCTGGAAGCAGCAGTTTTAGGGTGGCGCTGTGGGTTAAATCACAGAGCCTGGGGCTTGCCGATCAGAAGGTTGGCGGTTCGAATCCCCGCGACGGGGTGATCTCCCGTTACTCGGTTCCTCCTCCTGCCAACCTAGCAGTTTGAAAGCACGTCAAAGTGCAAGTAGATAAATAGGTACCACTCCGGTGGGAAGGTAAACGGCGTTTCCGTGTGCTGCTCTGGTTCGCCAGAAGCGGCTTAGTCATGCTGGCCACATGACCCGGAAGCTGTATGCCAGCTCCCTCAGTCAGTAAAGCAAGATGAGCGCCGCAACCCCAGAGTCGGCCATGACTGGACCTAATGGTCAGGGGTCCCTTTACCTTTACCTGCCTCTACTTACCAGAAGTGAGGGTGGGATCAGTGTGTACACCGCAGGCAATGATACATCCCTCATGCCATCTTCAGTTCTTCAAAACCATTATGCGACTCATAATAATATTGTCCTATTGATCTTAACGGGGATGTGGGTGGCGCTGTGGGTAAAAGCCTCAGCGCCTAGGGCTTGCCGATCGAAAGGTCGGCGGTTCGAATCCCCGCGGCGGGGTGCGCTCCCATTGCTCAGTCCCAGCGCCTGCCAACCTAGCAGTTCGAAAGCACTCCTGGGTGCAAGTAGATAAATAGGGACCGCTTACTAGTGGGAAGGTAAACGGCGTTTCCGTGTGCGGCTCTGGCTCGCCAGAGCAGCGATGTCACGCTGGCCACGTGACCCAGAAGTGTCTGCGGACAGCGCTGGCCTCCGGCCTCTTGAGTGAGATGGGCGCACAACCCTAGAGTCTGTCAAGACTGGCCCGAAGGGCAGGGGTACCTTTACCTTTTATTGATCTTAACACCCATGCTGAACACCCTTGAAGGGTGCACTTCCTGGCTGCAGTTGGTGAATATCCCAATATACACAATTTTGTATGCATGTAACTCTGCCTAATATACGTATTTCAGCCAAGATGATTTCCCTAAATTGCATTTCTATTTTTGCTAATATTTGCTTTTCTGTGCACATTTGACCCGGTATATGACTACAGCACAGGCGGCGCTGTGATCTAAACCACTGGGCCTCCTGTGCTTGCCAATCAGAAAGTCGGCGGTTTGAATCCCTGCGACGGGGTGAGCTCCCATTGCTTGGTCCCAGCTCCTGCCAACCTAGCAGTTTGAAAGCATGCCAAAAAAAGGTGTAAGTAAATAGGTACCGCGCCAGCGGGAAGGCAAACGGCGTTTCTGTGCTCTGCTCTGGTTTCTGTGTTGTGTTGTGCCAGAAGTGGCTTAGTCATGCTGGCCACATGACCTAAAAAAACTGTCTGCGGACAAACGCCAGCTCCCTTGGCCGGTAAAGTGAGATGAGTGCCACAACCCCAGAGTCGTTCATTGTCAGGGGTCCATTTACCTTTAATGCATTTTTGAACACGCTACTTGGCTGGTGAACTGCACTGCAAAACTCAGGGACGTGCGAATTTTGAAGGACGCTTGTGTTTTGGTTCCTTCATTGTTTAGAAGAGTTATGGGTTTAAATGCAAATGGAATTGAAATCCTCCTAGATACTGCACACTTCGGCTGTCTTGGGTTGTTACGTATCAGAGTGAGCAGCTGAGTGACAGGAGATGAAACAGGGCGTCCTTTGCTGTTCATATTGGTGGGATGGAGTCCAAGGGCCCTCTGCTCTCAGCTCAGAAGAAAGCAACTAACGCACAAGAAACGAAGCAGATGTGGACTCTGGCCAGCTAGTTGCCTGCCCCTAGGATAGCGGAAACACACCTGTGCCATTTATACTCCGAGCATGACTAAGGATGCCCCCAGCCTGCCAGTATTTTGTGTGACGGGTTCGAGGTCTGTTAAATTCTGAGGTGGTGAAAGCCATTCTCCTTCACTCACCCCAAAAGTCAAAGGAATTCATTCCCCTTTTCTGGATTTATTTATTGTTTTGTACAGAAACAGAGACTTCCAATTCTGATGAAAAAAGCTACGTGTCAGAAGCTCCGATGCTGTGAAAAAGGATTAACTGACGTGGTGAGAACTTGCCAAAAATGGAGAAAAAAACCCCCCATGCGTTTTCCAGAAATGGCTGAAGCTCCAGCCAAGAAAATACTACAGCAGTAAAAGTCTCTGATGTAAAGGCCAAGAGGCAGATTTACTGTGCTCTCAGGCCTAAATCACTAATCACCACTAATTCTGATGAGAGACTAACACATTTGTTTTGGAAATCCAGTTGGGGTTGCAGGCTTAGAAAGATGTGTTTCCCATGAAAAGCACGACTAAAACACTTGCACATTTGAGCTAGTAAAATGAAAGGAGTATCTAGTTCAGCCAAGAAATGGGAGACTCCAGCTATCTTTGTCATCAGATGCTCAGGCACACACACAAAAACAGGCAGCTAAAATTTCTTTCTGGATTTACTTGTGTGTTGGTGAATGGCTGTGGGCTCAGAACCGCAATACCTCAAGGGCCAACTCTCCTCGTATGAACCAACCCAGTTCCTGCAATCATAATCTGAGACCTTCTTCATGTGCCTCCTCCATGAGAAGTCTGGAGGGTGGCAACATGAGAACGGGCCTTTTCTGCAGTGGCTCCCTACTTGTGGAATGCACTCCCCAGGGATGCACGCCTGGTGCCTTCATTGTAAACATTTAGGCACCAGGCAAAAAACATTCCTCTTCAACCAGGCTTTGGGCTGATTCGACATCCAATACCCTTTTAAATGTGTTGTGGGAGCAGGGATTTTTGGTTTGTTGTTGTTCTTAATTTTATTATGAATACTTTCGTTTGATGTTGTGAACTGCCCTGAGATGAAGGGCAGTATACAAATTTAATAAATATAATACCACAAACCAGCCTGTGGACCTGAAACCAGCCCAGAGGCAACTGCTGGCTTGCCCTCGGCATCATTCCAATAGTTAAGAGGACTCATTTATGATCAGCTGAATGCTTCAGAGCAGCCTTCTGTAAGACAAAAGGGTTACAGCAAACGCAAGAGATCCATGATCGGAATTCTTGAAGTTTTAATGTAATAGGTGTGTGGAAACAGAGTAGAATTGGGGCAGCGCCAGTGGGAAACTGGAACGTTTCCATTGGGCCTCTTTCTCTGTTTACGACCCCTGCCCCAACCCCATTTGAACAGCTAGAGAAAGAGTGACAAATGCCTTTATAGTGTTTTTGCCCTGCTTTGGAGATTGGCGAGAGATTAATTAAGAGTGGCTTAGGGAGAAGGGTTAACCCTCCTCTTGAGATTGAGAAACTGAAACTGACAGATTCATCTTTCTTCCAGCCTTAAGTTGGTCACATTTTTGCATCATTTTTGCAAATGTTTTGAGAAAAGGTTCTCACAAAAATGAACACTGACATTTTAGTGTTCATTTCTCCTAATGCACCATTTTTATACATGTCATTTACCTCCTAATGTGTACATTCCCGAAAACAAGTTTTCCCAATATAACACAGTTCTGTTTGCTACTTTCAGCAATATTTGCTACCTGGCGTCTTAACTGTGCCAAAGGTTATTCTACCACCCTTTTATAGTGTGGTGTTTTAACGCTTTCCCTTTTCTTGTAATTTTGCATTCTTGTAAGTCACTCTGGGGACCTTTGGAAGGGCACCATATAGAATCAACTGCGTACAGAACTGGCAAATCACACCGCGCCACTCCAAGAAATGGAGTCAGCTCACACATTCAAGTTTCTGCAACCAAGTTAACATAATTGCACACATGGACTCACTCCCTCAATTTGTAGGATCAAGTAAGCCGTTCTGGAAAAGGTCCTGACCAGCAACACAGTTTTATTTGTAAACATTTATGTTACATATTCCAATAATTTAATCAAATACCAGGTTTTTGTACAGTTCACTGTATACTATCGACTACGTCGGACTGGGAACAAAGCAACCGGGTTGCTTTTAGGGCTGCCGAACTCCCACGCTTTTAAAACCTTCAAAATAGTATCAGAAACACTGGAGGAAAAGAAGTACAATGAATTATAAGTGCACTGTGGAAATAAAGAATTCAAACTGCTGGGAAGTTGGGAGGGGACGGAATGGAGAAGATTAACATATATACATAGAAAAAAAAGGGATAATCCCAGTGAAACTGCCTTGAAAAAGCCTCCCAAGGCAAGTCCAGTTAAAAATACTATTTATGGATGTCTCATTTATTCCCAGATTCAAGCAGCAAAATACATCTTAGTCATGAAGCACACATAGATGAATAATGAAATGTTAAGGCCTAAAACGTCACAAACTTGATTTTTGACAAGGAAAAAGCTGGTGGAGGAAAAAAAATTAAAGGATTATGCTCGACAGATTAAAAAATAATCTTTTTTGGTTGCATAAAGTTGTCGTCTTTGTTCACAGTACTTATACGTAATTCAGATATGTCCTTACTGCCCCACCCCGCTCAAACCACCCATGGCACACAGCCATCACGGATACTTTTAACAACCACCCGCATACCCAATTTAAGATTCACCTTTTGGGACTCTTATGCAGGCTGTGATGGCATCAGCAGCAAAGGCATCGCCACCGAGTTTTCCGTCTTGGGCTTAAAGCCGTCTAGCCAGGCCAGCATCCAAGATGGCGGCACTCACGCCACTAGCTTTAGGTGAGGTTTCAAGATTATAGTTGCACGGAAAAGAGGAGAGGGGTCAAATGATGCCTTGGTGCTGGGGAACAAAATAGGCAAGTTTATTCAAGTTGACCCTTAGGGGGATTTCAGCTCATCTCTTAGAACAGTAGAGATAAGGCTCCAGAATGCTTGGGATTTCCAGATGAGCCTTGACCCAGCACGCCATTCCACATTATAGTTTACACAAAACAGAACACTATCAGCGTTACAAAGCTATGCTACGGCATCGTTTTCATTAAGGCCTCCCTGCTCCACTAATTAGAACTTTCATTCCAAGTTTAAACAGTATGGGATGTGGGGGATCCCTGGATCTCCTAGCGCTTTGCTCTTTTTAAAACTAGCTGCGGGGTTGGAACTGCCCAAATTTTCATCACAACAGTGGCAGTCATGGTAGAGGTGTTTAATCTTCACACGCTCCAAACTACTGATCTAAAAATGGCCCTGAAGCTACTTTTTTTTTTGCTTGCTGGGGGGCAACTGAGACTTGGAAAATGGCATAGGTGAGCTAACCACCCAACTACTGCTCTCTCATCATATTTGGAGGCCCCAGTGGCTGCTTTAAAGTAAAAGCAAAAATAAAATAAAATAAAAAGGTGTTAGTAGATCCAACCAATGGATCTCTTGCATCATGTGCAGATTTAACAGCTGGGCAGGTGGTGCACAAAACAGTTCCTATTAGGAGAGTTCCCAGGGGGAGATAGCAACTTATTTCTGTCCTCCTTGCATTTCCATGGGGGGGTTGGAATGTTGTAGTTGCAATACACATGTCGTTTCTTTGAAACAGATCAGCTTTAAAGATTGCCAACTGATTTCTGCTCTTGTGGCTTCCAATGGTAGCTTGATATGCTAGCATTAGCAGGCGAAGAGATGCTTCTGCTATGGAAGTCTTCAGCCTGCTGATTCTGCATATCAAGCGGCTATCAGATGCAAGGCAGGAGAAAGTCAGGCTCCTGTCGTTCTGTTTTGATCGGTCATTTGACAGTCCTAGAGATCACCCATCCCAAACCCACCTTTCCTAAACAGCCACTGCTCTATTTCCAGTATGATGGCTGAGCTGAAACTTTTTTTAAAAAAATAATAAGTCAATGAGGTACTCATGTGCACGCTGAATTACTTCATCAAGCGATGTTCTGCGTTGCATGCAGCCTCAGAGTCCCATTCCACCCCCACCCCCCATTGTTGTAGGTGCAGGAAAGGCAGAAAAAAAGTGAGAGATGGCTAAAAACATTACTGTCTGTGCAAATTCTTATTCATTCCTGCTTTTCAAATGAAAGGGAAACCTTTACTTCCAGAAATATTGTGTAAAAATAATAATAATAAGGGGAAATGGCTGGTGGGGGTGGGGAGGAGGAGATTCAATTTCCAACCATAAGAATGAAAGGTCATTTTTCTACATTTCCCCTCCCCAGTTTCAAAATATGGCCAATAAATTCTTTGCCATTGCTCCGTGTTTTTTTAAGAAAAGGAAAAGAAGGAGAGGAGCCTGCTAAATACTGCAATCTGTTTATGAATGTGACTTAGTTGCTTTCTGGGTTCTTGGTCCCCAAAACATCCCTGCTGATGTGCATTAAAAAAACAACAGTCCCAGAACTGCTATTCCAATAAAGCAAATAACTAACCACCTTTCCCCTGCAAAGCCCTGATATCAAACATTTTGGACTACAATGATTTTTATACCAAAGGGTCTTATTCTTAACTTTTCACAGCTGCTTTTTCCCTCTTTCAACATTTCGCAGCTGTTGAGAAGACCCTGAAACTAGAAGAACCACAGGACGGTTTTTGTATAAACTACGCGAATCTAACTGTTACACAACACTGCATACATTTCTCTTGCCTTCCGAGGAAGGGAACCTTGATAAAATCTAGAAAGGACTGAAATGAAATCTCCAATTAACATTATTTTCATGATGAAACACCTACCACCCCCCAGGTATGGCCACAATCCACTGAAAAGTTTTCCTGCAGAAGCCCAACTGAGCAAGTGAGAGTTGCAAAAGAGCGTTTCCTGTGCTGGGCCTGTTATGGGGCGTAGGAAACTTCCCAGTAGATTGTGCCCAATTTCTTCCAGTGAGAGACCAGGCTTGCTTACAGTTACAGCTCTGTTAGTTTTTGTCTATTCCTACGTGGAAGAGGAGATGCTCAATGTGAGCCTGGCCTGATTCTGGGCATTCAATTCCTTTCTCCAGTAACCATGTCAGTCATCAGAGGGAAGACCCCACTGGTTATAAGAAATGCAGCTTCCGCAGCATGGATCAGATGCTAAGCAGTGCAAATATTTTGTGGATTTCACCCAGTGTTCTCCATAGCAGATGAACCATTCTGTGTCACCGCCTGCGTAGAACCTATTCACACAAACATATTCCCCTGTAAGGCGTGCTAGAAACTTTACGGGAAGTCACCGCCACGTGCAGATTCGGCCTTGGGGCAGCAGTGGCAAGTCAAGACACCGAATTCCAGACACGGAAGTGGATTCACACATCTGGCTTGTTATGGGATGAAAACCATCACAGGTCGAGATTTTTGTACAGTGGCCGTGCAGAGGAGGCTCTCAATTAGCTTTGGACAAAAGGAGGCAAGAGCAAAAGGCTCTCAATTCCTGCCCTCACCCTTCCAGTCTCCTGTGCCAACAAAGGAAGCTGGAGAAAATAAAGTGTATTATCAACAAGAACTTCTACGTACAGACAGCACCACATTTAACACTGGTGTAATCCCATCAAACTGCAAGGTTCCACCAAGGACAAAAAAATATTAGTCCAATCTCTCTAAGTTTTCCTATGACGCTTCTGTAGGTGCTTTTCAGCTTCAGATTAAAATCATTTACAAAGCATCAGCAGCAGACTGAAGTGACTACCTCCTAACTATCCTTTTTAATCAGGTAGTTAATAGCTAATGATTAAGTACGTCAGTGGTAGAACCCTGCCGTCCCCCTCTCTCCCATCAGTCACTGATACTTTTGTTAAACTATTTTAATACAACTTGTGCCTTTCTAATGCCAAAAGCCATTAACTATTGTGTGTTAATACGATAAAAAAAAGAAGCAAGTTTAAGGTCTGCACCACAAACGTATAAAATTACCATTATCTACTGTGACAGTATAGAAATTCAAACATCAGAAAGCCTACGAAGGGCGCTTTCAGTTATAAAAGAAAGATCGATTGTCTTGAGATAAAAAGAGAGGCAGGCTGACAACTAAGAAGCTTTTTGCTGCAGCATGACATGCAGTAATGAACAGGTAGGCGAGAGAGGATGCATCTCCCCCCAGGTTAAAAGTGCAGCACTACACACTTTAATAACACTATCGTTGCAGAGGTCATGCTGTGGGTAGCAGTACGCTTCCGAGGAGGTTGGCACTGTAAGTCGAATGCAGTTGGTTACCCGGAAGGAAAAGGCAAAATGTGAACCACGCCAGGGCGAACCCCTCGAGCTATTTCAGGTGTTCGGGTGGCACAGTTGCAATAAGGACAGAGGAAGGAGACCGCCCGTTCCACTCTGACAATGTACCGTCCTTGAACATCAGGTTCTTGGCTGGAAGGGGAACGCCTGCGTCGGCAGAGGATGGGTGGGAAAGTAAACTTGAAGTGGAAGAGGAGAAACTGGCTTCTGAAAGTAATTCCATAGTTGAAATGCTTTCCTGAGGAGGGAAAGAGGGAAACGTGCTTCAGTAGGATTACCGGTTGGCATTCGTTTTTGCCAAACAAGTGACTCACAGTCCCAAATTCTCGATTGGCTACTGCATATTATTCCTATTATTCCCCGCCCATGTGACTGGGTTGCCCTAGCCCAGGGATCAGCAAACTTTTTCAGCAGGGGGCCAGTCCACTGTCCCTCAGACCTTGTGGGGGGCCAGACTATATATATTTTTTTTGGGGGGGGGGAATGAACAAACTCCTATGCCCCACAAATAACCCAGAGATGCAGTTTAAATAAAAGGACACATTGTACTCATGTGAAAACACACTGATTCCTGGACCATCCGTGGGCCGGATTTAGAAGGTGATTGGGCCGGATCTGGCCCCCAGGCCTTAGTTTGCCTACCCATGCCCTAGCCACTCTGGGCAGCTTACAACATATATAAAAACATAATAAAACATTAAACATTTCCCTATATGCCTTCAGATGTCCTTGACAACAGGAGGCGCCAGTGCCAGGGGTCCTTTAGCAATTTTGACTCTTGATGAGCAGAGGCAGGGGTCTTGCTAGTATTCCCAAACGTAGTAAGCCTTGGTTGGCTTCTCTTTTATTAACCCAACAGCTTCCTCTTTAATGGCCAAAGGACCCAGGACAATTCCCATCCTTTCCTTTTTCCTTTCTCCATTCTCTTATCCCCTTGCCAAATTTATAGGAGGTAGTGGAGCTGTGATGCTTGGCACGCGCCCAGAGGCTTTTGGTGTAAGAAAGGGCTTCTTAAAGCCTAGGATCCTGCAACTACTATGCTATGCCAAGTAGAGATTAAGGCCCTTTAGAGAAACCAGGCTAGCAGGCAGGACACACAGAGGTAGCAGAGGAGGCACTATGTGGATGCAAGTCTGTCAGAAAAGAGGTTTGATAACACCAGTGGTCCTGGTGGCCTTCAGGTTGAGAAAACGTGAAACTAGGTACAAAGTCATGAAACAAACCCACAACATTGTCCAGGGAGGTATGGAGAATGAAGACACAGAACCAGACAGATGTTTTTCCTTGTCTCATTCAGCAAGAACCCTTTAGCATTACATCAGTTAAAAAGAACATCGAGAAATGCAAGTTTGCAATGCGTTTACGTCAAAAAGGAACTCCTATGTAAATATTAATGCATATGCAATTTTTAAACAATATATATTTACCTGGAATGAATGAACAAAGCTAAGGACCTGTAGAGAAAGTTTTCTACTGGAATGTAACAGTTTTTGAAGGCTGTCAAAAGATTAGAAAACATATACAATGTCAAACAAGTAGTCCATGGGATCCATGTGCATGTTGAACACTTAACTGCTTCATTTCTACCTCTGCTGAAAGATCTGCAGGCAAACAGTTTAGGTCCCAGCAAGTCCTCACCTCTCTCTGCTACACAGTCCGTGGCTTGCGATTTTCCGGCAGACTTTCCGGTTTAACTCGGAGCTGAAGAGTGGAATTCCAAAGCACAATTCCAGGGGGACCCACTCCTGCTCTGTTGTGGGAACTGAACAGATACAGAGATGAGGCAATGTGGAATTTGGACTGCAGCTTATCTGCCCCAGCCAGCACTATCTTCCCAGTAACAAATTAAACCCTTTTATTTTTTTAAAAAGGATTACCTTCGGGACTTTGCTTAGCTGCCGAATCCATGGGTGGCTCTTCAATGACCATTTCAAATGATTCCGTGCTCCCATTTACATCCGAGCCAAGTGCCAGCTCTGGCTCACCTTAGAGCAAAAAAACCCACAAGCCATTTAAGCTATATTCATGAGCAACAGCTGTTATGATCCAGCAGCTCTAAATGGAACACAGCGCTGCACAAGCTCACACACCGTGTGCCCTCAAAATCTGCTCTGGAGTGTCCCTCAAGTCTGCTTTGCTTGCGCACAGACAGTATTGCTCTGGTTATGCCCTGTGCATTCACATCCCCAATGGCTTCTCTATTATGAACATTTTTGGCGTATCTGGTATCTGGCCATGTGCAGGATAGAATAGAATAGAATTTATTATTTATACCCCGCCCATCTGGCTGGGTTTTCCCAGCCACTCTTGGTGGCTTCCAACAAAGTATTAAAATACAGTAGCCTGTTAAAAATTAAAAGCTTCCTTAAAGATGGCTGCCTTCAGATGTTTTCTACAAGTCTGGTAGTTGTTGTTCTCATTGACATCTGGTGGGAGGGCGTTCCACAGGGCAGGTGCCACTCCCGAGAAGGCCCTCTGCCTGGTTCCCTGTAACTTGGCTTTTCGCAGCGAGGGAACTGCCAGAAGGCCCTTGGCGCTGGACCTCAGTGTCCGGGCAGAACAATATGGGTGGAGACGCTCCTTCAGGTATACTGGACCGAGGCCGTTTAGGGCTTTAAAGGTCAGCACCAACACTTTGAATTGTGCTCGGATGCTTCCTTTTAGCAGAACCCTTGAAGGTGTGGGATTCAGGAATACACCCCCTTAGGTACATATTTCCTTGTGGATGCTCAGTATGGCTTGCTTCCCTTCCATCACCTTTCATTCACTGCACACAAGGAACTCAGCATAGATCCAAATGCCGGAATCCTCATGTCTGACAACCAAGGTGTACTGCCAACCAACCTTTTCCATCAGAAGCATCACTCAGCTTTCTGTGCACGTGGTGGCTGAAAGGGTTCAACATGGTTACGTAGCCGCAGAAGTGCTGCAAATCCATCTTTTCCCTTAATATCCTCAACGCTTTGTGAACGCCCATGTTGAGACGAGAAAAATCTAAACACAAACAAAGGGGGAAAACACGTCAAATGGCAATTTTACTAAGCGAAAAGAAAAGAAAAGAAGAAAAAAGGTTGCATCACTGCAGCCACCAGTTTTAAAAAGATTAGAGATCGCAGTGGCAAAGAAATCTAGCAAAACAGCAAGTCCCCCCTCCCTTTACTTCCCCACAAAGAAAGACAATGCAGACCAGTGCAAGGGAGTGGGAGCGGGGAAGCAAGCTTTTGGAATCATTGATAATTGACAACAATGATCAGTGGCTTTTATGTCTGCATCATGTTTTACTGGGGGGGTGGGCAGGCTGGGAAAGGGTATTATCAGTTACATTAAAGGTAAAGGTACCCCTGCCCATATGGGCCAGTCTTGACAGACTCTGGGGTTGTGGCGCTCATCTCACTCTATAGGCCGGGGGCCAGCGCTGTCCGGAGACACTTCCGGGTCACGTGGCCAGCGTGACAAGCTGCATCTGGCGAGCCAGCGCAGCACACGGAACGCCGTTTACCTTCCCGCTAGTAAGCGGTCCCTATTTATCTATTTGCACCCGAGGGTGCTTTCGAACTGCTAGGTTAGCAGGCGCTGGGACCGAGCGCCAGGAGCGCACCCCGCTGCGGGGATTCGAACCGCCGACCTTACAATCGGCAAGCCCTAGGCGCTGAGGCTTTAACCCACAGCGCCACCCGCGTCCCTCAGTTACATTATTCCTAACCAAAATATCATTCAGAAGGTAGTGATTACATTCTCACAGCAACATACAAGTCTGATACCCACTAAGCCAAAAGCAAAGAGGAGTACTATAGCTTAGTGGCAGAGAAACATGCTTTGCGTGCATGTGTTTCGCAGGTTCAATCCCCAGCGTCCCCAGCCAGCAGGCGATGGGAAATGCCTGAAATCCTGGACAGAAACTTGCCAATTTCCCCCTTTCCTTGTTACCCTTTAGTATCACCTTGTTACTGTGAGCAGCAAGGTGCGGTTTTGAGGATTCAACCACGCACAAATTGTCTCTGAGCGGAGAATGCCAGTACAAGAAAACATGAGTTACCTCCTTGCAGTTCTGTTTCATCAAATGGAAATGGCATATGGACTGTTTCCCCCATACCACGCATACCATGTCCCTAAACACCAAAGTGAGAGTTAAGGCACAAAATCCATGTCAACGTGACAATCTCCAGCTTTTCAAAGGCGCCTAGCCCTCATTGATCACGGGGAATTACTGCCAGAGAACCAAGAACCTAAGGCGCCATGATCCACACCCCATCTCCATTAATACTAAATTCTGCAGAATTAACAGAATGGAAACTCTCTGTTGTCGCTTGATAAGAGTTCAGTTAGTAAGATCAAGGTTCCTTTAATAGTAAGGACAAAATCCCAGTATGGTTTCAAGATAGGATACTTTTTCTTGAGAAATGCGATCAAGAATTGGGAGTCAGGGGAAGGGGAAGGGGAGAAGATAGGTGATGGAATCTAACAACATCTGGGAGGTTACCAGGCTGGCTAAGTCTGGTCTAAAAAAATCATCTGAGCCACAGGCCATCACAATATAGTCTGTTCTCATATTGCAAGAATTAATTACAAGCACCTCAAATAAGGAGCTGCATTAAATGAACCATCTTCCAGCCACCATTGGACATCTGTATATTATGCAAACTAGCTTTAATTCTCGCTCCTCTTCTGCCACATCCTCCGCAACTCTCTGGTCCAGCAGAAATATCAGAAGTTTCATATTTATACAAGTTGTTCCTTACCTGAATCAGAACAGCAGAATGGGTTAAAGCATCATTCAGCATGGTGAGCACATTGGAAGTTGGGACGACTCCTGGGTCATGCCCCCAAGATGTTATTAGCAAGCGGTCATAGCCCTAGGGAGCAGAAGTGAAGACACAGCGGTCAGATTAAGACGGAAAGGTCTATAGAGTTGCAGGAAGAGCAAAGTCCTCCACTGCCTGCATCCATCTGGCTTTGCTTTTCAAGCTCTCTTTTCAACCTGAATTAAAGGGGTTTAGTTTTTCTGTTGGTAGGAAAAAAAGAAATATCCCAAATCTTATTTGTGCAAGTTGAATTGTTTCAAAGATCTGAAAAGTAATGCAATCATCCTATTTGTGCTGATTTATTGGCACACATGCTTTTCAATTAATTTAGAGACAATTTGTTATCTACATGTCTGTATTACCTATTAACACCAGAACCTGTGCCCCCTAGATGTTGTTGAGAGTCTCATGCTCTGCTGACTGAGCCATCTCAGCTCTCTAGATCAGGCATAGGCAAACTCGGCCCTCCAGATGTTTTGGGACTACAACTCCCACCCCCCCGACCACTGGTCCTGTTAGCTAGGGATGATGGGAGTTGTAGTCCCAAAACATCTGGAGGGCCGAGTTTGCCTATGCCGGCTCTAGAGCTATTTATACAAAACACTGATCTGAACCCAAAGTTGAACATGACCAAAGGCCTATACCCCAGAATTAAGATCGCCCACATTTCCAGTGAAACAGCTTACCTTGCTGAAACCAGCAATACCAAAAGCAACACGCTGGCCAGAAACAATTACAATGTGAAAAACTTTATAGGAATAATTCAAAACATCAAAACTAACAAACTGAAGTCTCTGAAAGTCCTTAAATGAATCATAGTGCCAGACTTTACCCGGCGGAGAACAAGCTGTGAAGCTTTGTATAATCAGCAAATGTCCAATTCTGATGTCCAACTCTGAACTCTGAATTCTTCATCAGCCAATTAGTTCAACACTCGTAAAGTAGAAAGATATGTAATTTCTTCATTAACCAATCTTTTTTCAAATATATATAATATACATGAGAATGAAAAATACTCTGGAACAGTGCTCATGTGATTATTCCTATAAAGTTTTTCACATTGTAATTGTTTCTGGCCATCGTATTGCTTTTGATATTGCTGACTCATATTTTGCAACACAGGGGTTTGTTTGTTTACCTTGCTGAAACCAGCAGCTTCAGGTGTTACACTGCAAAGGCCAAAGGAGCAACAACTCCAGAATCAATACCAATACAGAAGACTCTAATTCCCTCCAAATACGTAATGCTTACCTGAAATATATCTGGAAGTTTTCGGAGTCTTGTTCCTTTAGATAACAACAGGGATGGAGGCCCTTGTCCAGTAATGTGATAAATGTAGAGCTTGAACCATACGGAACTGACTTCTGGAATAGCTGGTCCAATATGCTAGGGAAAGATGAAAAAGGCACCCACTGAAGCAAGAATAAGACGAACGTTGCTGTTATAAACTTCATTTGCAGTAACAGGGCTTCTTCTATAACAGCAACTGCAGTTTCACTCCTGACTAATATTAAGAAGCAGAAAAGCATTTGGGAAGGCATGTTGGTGACTCCTCACCAGTGGGGCTTCCCTGCCAGCAGAAACCAGCAGCGCTGGGCAGAACTGGATGGAGACCTATGCTGCATCCAAACCCCTTGCAGCATGGCAGAGCCACGGTTTGGGTGTAAAGCTCGCAGTATCTTTTCTTTTTTAGAAAAGCCTTTTAAGCACTTCCTACAGACTCACTGGGGACGTGGGTGGCACTGTGGGTTAAACCACAGGGCCTAGGACTTGCTGATCAGAAGGTCAGCGGTTCGAATCCCTGCGACGGGGTGAGCTTTCAGGTCATGTGGCCAGCATGACTAAGCCGCTTCTGGCGAACCAGAGCAGCGCACAGAAACGCCGTTTACCTTCCCGCCTGGAGTGGTACCTATTTATCTACTTGCACTTTGACGTGCTTTCGAACTGCTAGGTTGGCAGGAGCAGGGACCGAGCAACGGGAGCTCACCCTGTCGCAGGGATTCGAACCGCCGACCTTCTGATCGGCAAGTCCTAGGCTCTGTGGTTTAACCCACGGTGCCACCCGCGTCCCGAGTTAGATGGATCAGTGGTCTGAATGGGTAGAAGGAAACTTCTGATATTCTCTTCCCCTCGCACCACCTTTGGCGCTCAAAGATCTGCCATGCAGAGCTTGGGGACTCTCTGAAGCCGTAAGGAATGTTAGTGCATGGTGGTGCAATGGGAAGGGGAGTCAGGCAAAAATGAAATAAAATGCTGTGCTCTGGGGAGTGGGGGGGACGACTCTGCCAGACCCCAGACCCCTCTGCAAACAGAAGGGGCTGTCTTCCAGCTGTGGAGGGCTAGTTGGATAACGCCATGCAAAAGCAATAAAGTCAACTGCTGGGAAGAAAAGCAGAAACACAGATGAAGAGTGCATGCACACTGCTGACCAAAAGCCTTCCGTAAATACTAAAAGCAAAGCGTCTCACACAGGAAGTAACCCTCCCATTTCATTTCTGGGGAGATTTCCTCTCTTACCTGGGGCGTGCAGCTACTGATGGGTCGGATTTCGTTGGTGAGAGGCGCCATGGAGACCAGCAGCGTGTAGTTTTTGTTCAAAACTCTGCTGCAGGTAGCAGGGTCCAAGCCAAGCAAGCTTTCGCAGCGCAGCAAATCCAGAGGGAAACCTACATCAACGATGTCAAAGACACTTGGAATACATATAGAGAACGAACGTGTACAACTGAAAGGGGTACAGGAAGGGGGGAGGAAAAATACAGATTTAGACGGGTCTCTTCTCTCTTCCTGGATAAAATCTCAACACGACTTAAAGATGCTATCAGCTAGGGAAGGGTAGGCAAGATGGCGCCCTCCAGATGTTGTCAGACTACAACTCCTATCACTCCTAGCCAGCATGGTCAGGAATGATGGAAACTGGAGTCCATAAACAAACGGAAGGCACTACCCCATGGTAAATCAGCTTTGATGCATATCACAAGCCACAAGGAAAGTTACATGTCAAAAGGAAATAACCGTTGAGCAAAGACTTATTTCATGCTAGCGGGATTGTTTATTTATTTACTTTGCCCTTCTTTGAACAGCAGGATCTCCTTCCACAACTGCTTTTGAACTGCCCCTCTGCTCTGAAGGGGTTCTGACTATGGGGGACCAAGGAGACTGCTGTTAAATAAATATAAATACAGGCTCTCCATGGGTATGTGATTCTCTATATCTGAATTTCTTGAACTGCTGTTCACTTACTGGGCAGTTCTTTGGATTCCAACCATGGATACATTTCAGGAAAGGGCAACCAAGAATGATCAAGGGGCTGGAGCGGCTCCTCTACGCGTAAAGGTTATAAGGCTTGGGGATTTTGTTTTTTAAAAAAGAAAAGAAAAAAGAAAAGAAAAAGGTGGAAATGATAGAGGCACATAACATTATTCACTGTGCGGAGAAACTGGGAGAAAATTCTCTCTCTCTCTCTCTCTCTCTCTCTCTCTCTCTCACACACACACACACACACACACACACACACTTAAAACCTGGGATCATAGAATCATAGAACAGTAGAGTTCTGAGGATTGTCCAACCCCCTGAAATGCAGGAAAATGCAGCTGTCCCATACAGGGATTGAACCTGCAACCTTTGTGTTATCAGCACCACACTCAGTGAAGCTGAACGTAGAAGAAAAAGAAGAAGAAAAGGAGTTTGGATTTGATATCCCGCTTTATCACTACCTGAAGGAGTCTCAAAGCGGCTAACAATCTCCTTTCCCTTCCTCCCCCACAACAAACACTCTGTGAGGTGAGAGGGGCTGAGAGACTTCAAAGAAGTGCGAGTAGCCCAAAGTTACCCAGCAGCTACAGGTGGAGGAGCGGGGAAGCGAACCCGGCTCTCCAGATCACGAGTCCACTGCTCTTAACCACTACACCACACTGGCTCTATAGGGAGATTAAAGGCAGGCAAATGCATCTATACTTCTTCACCCAGTGCACTGTTAAACCAAGGAATTTGCTGCCACAAGATGCAGGGATGGCCACCAGCTTGGACAGATTTAAAACAGAATTAGCCAAATTAGGAACCAGGACATCAGGCCATTGGAGCAGCATTGTGTACAATGCTGTGCACCTTCTGCATGCAAAACAGATGGTCTACTGCTTAGCAATGGCTGTTCTCCAAACTCAAGAAGTTTTAGGCTTTCAGTGGCTACTAGCCACAATCGCTATGTTCTGCCTCCACTATGGGAGGCAGGGTGCTTCTGAATACCAGCAGCTGAGAAAGGACACTGTTTCGCTCATGGCCTGGTTTTGGGCTTCCCATAGGCATCTGGCTGGCTGCAGAGAGAACAGGATGCTGGACTAAATTGGCCTTTGGTCTGTCCCAGCTCCTATATATTCGGTGAAGGAAATTTTATTCTATACTATTCTTTTCTCCAGCCCAAACTAGCATATACATGCTGGTCACAAGAAATCCCATTTTGAATAGGACATATGGATTTACGGCACTACATTCCTTAAAAAGGTAAAGGGACCCCTGACCGTTAGGGTCCAGTCGTGGCTGACTCTGGGGTTGCGGCGCTCATCTTGCTTTATTAGCCGAGGGAGCTGGTGTACAGCTTCCGGGTCATGTGGCCAGCATGACTAAGCCGCTTCTGGCAAACCAGAGCTGTGCACGGAAACACCATTTACCTTCCCGCTGGAGTGGTACCTATTTATCTACTTGCACTCTGACGTGCTTTCGAACTGCTAGGTTGGCAGGAGCAGGGACCAAGCAACGGGAGCTCACTCCGTCGCGGGGATTTGAACCGCCAACCTTCTGATCGGCAAGCCCAAGAGGCTCTGTGGTTTAACCCACAGCACCTCCCGCGTCCCTACTACATTCCTTAGCCTTTGCCAATTTTAGACCATAGTACCCAATTCAAGAACACTATCCAACACGATTTAGGAAAGATGAATGTCTTTTAAGCTTCTCCAGGGGGCATAAACCAACTGTGCAAGGTCAACTTCAAAAGTAAACCAACTGCATAAGCAGCTGGAAGCTACATAAATAGTATGTAGATATTGTGACAAGTGAAGGCTTATTTAAGCAATTCATTATCTTAAGAGTATTAGTTCATGTCCTGTTCCCCCAACCCTCTCAAATGATCAAAAGACACTTTACCCACTGATAAGAGTGAATTGGTAGTGAAGAGTCCTCCACAATAACTGGGGTTCCTGCTCTGTATCTTTTTTATTCTATGTACAGTTCTAAATGCTGTTGCCCGGGAATCTGACAGTTTTTGATAGGACTCAACTGGATGCGGCTGCTGAATGTTTTAAAGGGGTAAAAAAACTGACAGAGCAAGATAAATTCTTTCCTCATTAAAACAAAATTAACTCGAGAGATGTACAAACACACACACTATGTTTGTTCAGCCCTGCAGGAAAATGATGGTCACTGGGATTTATTAAGTCCGGAGGGGGCTGAGTGCTTATAGCTAAAGGGAATTACAGCTGCTGCATTCTCCCAAAATAACACGGCTCTGGCCAAAAAGATGGTTCAGGATATTGTATCGCCCATGTAGTTAAAAGTGCATGAATTTTGCGATGTATACCCCGAGTAGCGTGCGATGACCTACATATTCTCTCAAGTGAGTTACTGAGTTACTGGTGCATCTGGACCAAGAAAGAAAGGGAAATACGGAGAAGGGAGAAAGTAGGCAGTTGCAAGGTAGAAAGAAAAGGGTCCAAAAGATGATAGTTGCGCTCGCTGAATGTAACAGGGTAGAGGCCAGTAGCTATCATCTGATGGTGGGAATGAAAAAGAAATAAAGCACTTTTTCTTTCTTCCTCATGTGACTGCTATAACCAACATCTGGGATCTACTCTTAAAACTTTAATGGAAACACTATGTGCTTAGAACATTGATGCATAAATTAATGCATCTCTTTGGACAATGCTTTCCAATATGTTTACCCACAAACACTAGAACTTGCTTAGGTTTATAAATAAGTCAGGTCGACTTTGTTTAATGAGATGACTTCTCAGTCGCCTAGATTCTTAACTGGCCTTATACAGAGTACATTTCTGACTACAGGGTCTATTGCAATGTTAATAGCATGCCAAGATTGATGTTTAGCAGCCTAAAACAGCTAACAATGGACAATGGGACCTCTGTTCCCAAAGGGGTTATACTTATAAGTACACGTTTGGAGCACGTTTTCAAAGCTAGTGAAAGTGTGTCATCAGAGTAAAAAGTACAGAACACGTAAAATAGAAGCATGTCTTCACTGTACCATTATTGGGTTGTTCAGGCTGTGTAACTTGAGCCGCTAGGTCCTTATTGTGCCTCAGAAACAGTATAGTGTTTCGCAGGGTAAGTGCGTGATCAAAGTATCTTTGTGCTTCGCCCTCTCCTGTGCTTTGAACCTAAATAAGGGAAGAAAAAAGTACTTTGCATGAGCTGTTTGTGCAAATACTATTGACATAGAAAATTGAATATATGACAAAACATGCCTAACTCAACATTTATGACCGTGCAGCTGCTCTGACCCTCAAAAGAAAAGAAAAAATATTTACATGTCAGATGAATAAATGTGATTATATTTTCCAGTGATTATATTTTCCAGTACTTGTGTGTTATCTTCACTATTAAAAAAAAGGAAACTATGAATATAGTATTTTCAATAGCTTTGGTAAACTATCTGTAGGTCAGTTTTCGGTACATAATTACGTGTAGCTATACATTTGATGGAGGGACACAGGTGGTGCCGTGGGTTAAACCACAGAGCCTAGGACTTGCCGATCAGAAGGTCGGTGGTTCGAATCCCCACGACGGGGTGAGCTCCTGTTGCTGGGTCCCTGCTCCTGCCAACCTAGCAGTTCGAGAGCACATCAAAGTACAAGTAGATAAATAGGTACCAGTCTGGCAGGAAGGTAAATGGCATTTCTGTGCACAGCTCTGGTTTGCCAGAAGCGGCTTAGTCATGCTGGCCACATGACCCGGAAACTGTACGCCGGCTCCCTCGGCCAATAAAGCAAGATGAGCGCCGAAACCCCAGAGTCGGTCATGACTGGACCTAATGGTCAGGGGTCCCTTTACCTTTATGCATTTGATACCCTATACAGAGTTTAAACAAATGTTATGTGCAGGCCATAGCAGAAGGAAAACACCATTTGACAATGCAATCATACAAAGGGTAATGACTGAAGCTTCTTATCTATATTTCTTCAGTTTGAATGATCAGATGAGCCACAATTACTAAAAGCAAGAGGGTGGGAGGGAAGCAATGTCTTATGGGAGACTGCTCAGCAATGGGCTATGGGCTGCATCCAGCCCCTTAAGTGACTTATGTGGCTCCAGGCGAATTGACCAAATTCGAACTTTCGCTCGTAAGAAAAAGGCGCTTCCAACATAGAAGTTATTTTGAAGGTTAACGTTAAATTTCTCTTTCAAATCTGAATGCATTTGTGCTGTAACTGTGAAGTCTTTAATAAATAGAACGCCAGAAGCGGTTTAGTCATCCTGCCCACAAGACCTGGAAAGCTGTCTGTGGACAAACGCCAGCTCCCTCGGCCTGAAAGCGAGAGGAGCGCAACACCCCATAGGCGCCTTGGACTGGACCCAACTGTCCAGGGGTCCTTTACCTTTTTACCATAGCCTTTAATGCAAGATAGTACCAACTTAACTATACATAGCCTGACTGCTCATGCAAAGGTTGTCTTGACTACCACCCTCCTTTAACAATAACAAACCAACTATTATTTACCTTTTCAAGTTCTACAAGGAAACTGTCTAGAGACTCATCTGACAACTTCCCAACTTCAAACATGGTGACGGCATGACTTTTCAAATTCTGCAAGGAAGGTAAAATTGCATAACCTTGAGCTCCGAATTATTATGAATCTATCCAGTATTCAATAAGCGTTCACAATGAAGATGGAGGAATACAGACTACACACCCCTTGCGTTCCCTTCCTGCAAGTCAGGACTCTTGTTTTTTTTATTTTTAAAAAATGACTGTAGTTATCATTTTGACAAAGAACTAATCTAAAAACTTGTTTTTTTAAAAGTTTTTATCAAAAAAACTAAAGGAATATTTTAAAGAGTTTTAGCACTTAGATACTGAGAAACTAAGGAACTTACCGGTGAGAGATTCCCCATCATTAAAAAGGCAGTGAGTGTTGAATCAAAGAGGAAGGCTATGCGCTTCGTGTGCCCACTGGACAGACTCAAGCTGCTCACACTGGCAGTATCGGCTAAGGAAGCAAACACACACAGAGATTTGCCATCTTAAATAGTTTTGACAACAGTGCAACACCATACTTTGTACATCACGCTAAGACTGTGGTTGCGCCTCACCTCTCCACTCCTTTAGCTGATGTGATGAGCTGAGGTAAGCCATGGTTTTGCTTAGCATGTCCTCCAAACTCAGGCCTGCAGTTCAGCTCTCCTGGGCAAACCATGAGTTGTAAACAGATAACCAAACTTGATTAAAGCCTGTGGTTAGCTTGAAGAGTGCTGATCCATAAACCCAGGTTTGGATGAAACACTAAGCTTAGCTCAGCAGCAAAATGACCAAGGAAGAACAAAGCCAGCCCTGATCTTATCCTCAGGAGACCAGGCCTTCACACTAAGCCAGGGGTCGGCAACCTAAGGCCCATGGGCCACAAGCAGCCCATGGGGCTCATTTAACCGGCCCATGGACTCCCGCCTTCTCGGGGACACCTGCCGCCCGCTCGGAAGGCTCCTATGCGCCACGCTAAACCGGCGCGGGACAATTCTCCCCACTTACGGATTTCCCTGCCTACAGGGACAAGCCAAGTGGAAGTGGAGCCTTAAAGATTCTCCACATGCAGAGCAAGCTGCTTTTTCAAGCAAATGTTTTAATGTGCAGCCTAGCTCTAGCCCATGATTCAGACCACAGAATGCCACAGTAGTGAATGACAAGGACAGACCTATACAGGGGAAAAAAGAATGCGCTGTAATGCACGCAAAATGATTAGATTGGCAACCATTTGCTCAACGGCTCACCTGGATCATCTTGGCTGTTTGTGTCGGTATCTGTAGCAGATGACCCCGCCTCTTGTACAGGACTCCTGCTTTCTGAGCTCTCCCAGGACAGCAGCATCTTCTGTGGATCCAAAGTAGTTCTAAGAATGGGAACAAGGGTAATAAGAAGAGACCTGCTGGCTCAGACCAACAGCCTATCTAGACCAGCTTCTTGTTTCCCTCAGCAGCCCGACCAGAAGCACCAGCTGAACATGAGTCCGTAAGCAAGAACATCCCTCTCTCAAGCCCTGTGACCCTGGGAAGAAGCACTATTTGGAAGCAGGTTGTGGCCAGTGAAGTCCCCAGAATCTGGGCAAAGATAAACCGGTTCGAGTCATGGATCTCAGGCTTTATATTCCAGCTTTAATCAGTGAGGCTGTAAATTAATGTCATGTGATTATTTTATTGGGCCATTTTGAAAAGGACCTGTGGCTTTTAGCTAATAATAAGCAAGGCTATTGAAAAGTTAGTAAAGGTAAAGGGACCCCTGACTGTTAGGTCTAGTTGTGACTGACTCTGGGGTTGCGGCGCTCATCTCGCTTTATGGCCGAGGGAGCCAGCGTACAGCTTCTGGGTCATGTAGCCAGCATGACTAAGCCACTTCTGGCGAACCAGAGCAGCACACAGAAACGCCGTTTACCTTCCCGCCGGAAGGTACCTAATTATCTACTTGCACTGCATGCTTTTGAACTGCTAGGTTGGCAGGAGCTGGGACCGAACAACAGGAGCTCACCCTGTTGTGGGGATTCGCACTGTCAACCTTCTGATCAGCAAGCCCTAGGCTCAGTGGTTTAACCCACAGCGCCACCCGTGTCCCTATTGAAAAGTTAAGGGCCACTAAATTCAATTGTATTTATTCCCAGTTGTGTATATGCACACGACTGTCCTGACTTTCTTAAATAGTACAACTCACAAGACACACCGATATTGAGGTCCTAACGATATGCACATCCATTGGGCATCACAAAGTGGGGCACAGTCTCAAGCAACAATGTGCTCTCCTAAGCCCTCATTCCCATTATGTTCGCAACTCCTGTCCCAGCAACATCTATGCTGGCTTGGTCATGTCTACAGAATGGAAGAGGGCAGGATCCCCAAGGATGTGCTCTTTGGGAAGTTGGTTTCAGGCACCAGGCCTGTTGTTGCCAGAACACATACTTACTTCAGCCTGTTTATAGATGGGACATTCCGCCATGATGCATGAAGATTGTCCAGATTTATTACTTGGCCCTTTTTGTGGGCAAACCCTAACCGGCAATACATGGAGACAGCATTCTAAAGTGAAGACAACATTTGCAAATCAGCACTTTGCATTCTTGTTTCACAATTTCAAAAGAGATAAAAAATATGTGTGCAACGAAGGGTTGCCCTACCTCCACACACACACACACACACACACACACACTTTAGGCAGCAATACAGGAGTCCTACCTTCACTAGTGACAGATCTATCTCCAGGACATTTGCAAGCTGAAAGGATAGAAGGGAAAAGGTTACCGGTAATTCTCAAAAATCAAAACCAATGAGTTCACAAACCTCTGCCACCTGCGCAAGTCAGGCATATGAGTGCTAAGCTTTAGGTACACGTCCCTAGGACTTAGCCAAGACACAATCCCAATCCCCTCTTATGTGGAGAGTTCGCATTAAGTTAATTTAGCATGTCTTTTCCTGACAGATGCCTGGAAGCAGGGCACAGAGATATGTTGAAACAATGACTTACCTCGGCCACGTTTGTGTGTTCATCTATTGAAACAAATATCTTGTACAACAAGGTTTCAAAATAGTCACCCTGCACTCTGTTCATAACAAAACCTTCAAGTGGGGGAACTGAAAAGAGAAGCCATGTTTAAGGTTGTGATTCAAGGATATAATTTTGATGTATAAAAAGGGGTCCGGCCCTATCTTTACTTATTAATTATCAGCATTAAAATGTTTATTCCTGAATCACCCCCCCCCTCTCAGGAATCTGACCAAGAGAACAGAGACTCACACCAAGCTAATGAGATACTTTGCTCTTTCAAATTACATTTTACAAAACAGGAATTTTATGGTCCTGTACATCTGTGGTCTAAACCACAGAGCCTAGGGCCTGCCGATCAGAAGGTCGGGGGTTCAAATCCCCACGACGGGGTGAGCTCCCGTTGCTCGGTCCCTGCTCCTGCCAACCTAGCAGTTCGAAAGCAAGTCAAAGTGCAAGTAGATAAATAGGTACCGCTCTGGCGGGAAGGTAAACAGCATTTCCGTGTGCTGCTCTGGTTCGCCAGAAGCGGCTGAGTCATGCTGGCCACATGACCCGGAAGCTGTACGCCGGCTCCCTCGGACAGTAAAGCAAGATGAGTGCTGCAACCCCAGAGCCGTCCGTGACTGGACTTAACGATCGTCTCTTTACCTTTACATCTACCAGACATGTCACACTTTAAATCCCCTTTAACCACCATGGTCTACATCTGAGGTACCTACAAAAGTGCTGCCATTCAATTTTATTTTGCATTTTTGTTGTGGCAAAACAAATAGAAATTTGTACTTTTAACCATCACTACAACCCTTACCTTACACACAGTCCCATTTTAATCCACACTCCAACTCCTCCTTTGTCCCAACTTTGCTATTCAATCCACTCCTGAACATGTAGCACCCTTTATGGATCTTTGTTTTGAAAGCAGCGAGTCCACACTTACCTGCTATACAACTGTCATCCGATATTGGTACATCAAGGTAAATAAAGCCTTTATTATATAAGCCTACAGAAAGAAAAATAATGTCACTATACAAAAAAACACAAACCCCCCATCAAACGTAATATTATACCATTACACATAGAGAGCGTTATAGAAGCTAAGCATGTGCCACAAAACTACATGAGGAGCACTCATGACATGTGTTATACAGGTAACTTGCAATTTATGTGCATTTAACTAACATGATCACAGATTTGCACGGGTGGGAGGAAATAAAAAATGTTTAGGGCTCAAGAGAAGTAACACAGGTCAGGATTCAGGCAACTTATAAAATTACTCCCAATTCCACATGACAAAACTGCTTTTGAAATTTTGTGATACAGCATAGCATAGTTCTAGTAACAAAAAGCAAAAATTTCACTGCTTTAGTGTGAATCCCTTGCAAAGGTGCTTGGATTCTGGCCACTGTTGGAAGTATAACCTCAGGCATATCTTATTACTCTTCTGTTTAACAAAACAAAGCAAAACTCACTGTGAACTATATTGTAATCCAGAGATCCAGCAAGCTGAGGACCTGAATCGATGATCTTATCGATAGCAGATTTTTCAGAGGTAGTGCAAATCTAGAGAGAAAAGTACATATTAAATCACACATTTGGAGTAACTGACAGATCTTTATTAGTCCATGCAGCTTTCAGACTGAAAAGTTTGACAATGATGAAGTATAACAACATAACAACCCACACAGAGAGCTTGTTTGGTAGGTTAATCAAGCGGCAATTAAGTATCAGAATAAACTTTTTGATAGATGACCCACCCCTGCAAAATATCATAGAGCTAGAATTCAGGGTTAGCCAATGTCTGGAAGCAGGAAGAGGACTGACAAAAATGAAATACTTATTCTGTAATACATAATTACGGTATTCACTCCCATGTGATGTGGTTACAGCTTCTAACTAAGGTTGCTTTTAAAAATTCATATAATATAGATCTATAAACCGTCTTCAGCCATGAAAACTAAACAGAGCCATCATATGAGTCGCCAGACAAGCACTGTTTGCTTAATAGTGATGTAGGTTTGCACCTGCAGGCAGCTGTTAAAATGGAATTATGTGTCATTTTCCATAAACACTTAAGGAGTCCTACTTGCCCTTATGTTGGATGCTGTTTTGACTGCCACAGCTAGCATCACAGACTGAAAATATAAGGCAACTTGACCCATTTTCTGTAAATACTGTAAGTGCTGTAACTGCAAAGTAACTGTGTGAAATACCTTTGATGCAAGAACTTTTTGGAATAGTGGCAGTAAGTATTCACACATTCCTGATTTAGAGGGTGAAGCGAAAGTATATAACCTGCAATGGGATCCTAAACAAATTTACTCAGAAGTAATTTCCGCTGCCCTGGAAAAGACCCTGATGTTGGGAAAGATGGAGGGCACAAGGAGAAGGGGACGGCAGAGGATGAGATGGCTGGACAGTGTTCTCGAAGCTACCAGCATGAGTTTGACCAAACTGCAGGAGGCAGTGGAAGACAGAAGTGCCTGGCATGCTCTGGTCCATGGGGTCACGAAGAGTCGGACACGACTAAATGACAACAATTTCCGCTGTGTTCAAATGGATTTACTCCCAGGTAATTGTGTACAGGATTTCTGCCTGACATTTATGCAGACTGATTAATTTTTGGATTTTTGTATGAAGTTACCTTTATGTCGTCCTCTGTGATGTAACCAGCTTGTACCACCCACCATGGCTCTATTGCAATCTCAACTGGCTTCGTGGGTAGCAGATCACGGGCAGTTTTCCTTCTGAAGAATTTCTGAAGGGGTACAGCCCATTCGTGAGAGACAACAAGGAAGTAACCAAATTACTATCTTATAAAGCAGAAGTAACTAACAAATGCTCATATTTCTGGATATGGCACACTCAGGTCTTTAACCCTCCTGAACAATGTACCATAACAAGGATGGGGAGGGGAACTGTGCCACTTTTCATCATTAATCCTGAGAAACAGGTTGTGCAATAAATTTACAGACGCCTTCAGTGCATTTTTTATAAAAAAAAATGCAGGATAAAATTAAGACTGTTAGATTCTAGAAAGAGAAGTTTCAGTTCACCCAAGGTCACCCAACAGCTGCATGTGGAGGAGCGGGGAAGCGAACCTGGTTCACCAGAGTCCACCGCTCTTAATCACTACACCACGCTGGCTCTCTGGTAACATTCAGATCGAATTACTGCAATATGTTATACATGCCTTTTAAGACTGCTTGAAAACTGCAGTTAGCTCAGAATACAGCAGCTGTTGCCAGTCCCAATTCAACTGGTTCCTTTCAGAGCACAGCTCAAAAGTGCTAATGCTAAATCAGGGATGGGGAATCTGTGGCTCCATAGATGAAGCTGGACACCAGCTCCCATCATCCCTGACCTTTCACCACATGAACTGGAGCTAATGGGAGTTTAAGTCCAATGACATCCGGAGGACCAAAGGCTGGCTTTTTCCCACCTGCATTTCCTGTGTACTCATCTCTTCAACAGAGGCTCTTCTTTGGGCTCTCCCAGCTTCTGAAGCAAAGATGTGCATATTTATGATGCATAGCCTCCGGCACCCGGAAATAACATCTTTTATACACTGTGTACCATTTTCTATTACAGAGGATGTTAAGCTTGAGACTAAGGCAATCCAGAAGGGTTTTTGGAGATCAGTGGCACAAATGACCCATTATGCCAGATTACAAAGATTATGGAAGGTGCCATTGGGTTTCGCTCCCCTCAGTATACGACTAGTTAATTTTTCTGCTAGGGCTGCAACCCACACTTTGGACAACCAAACTTGGTCCAAACACTAGATCACATAGAAGAGAGGAGGGAGAGAGGGAGGGGAACCATGAACACCTACTTTGGATGATCTACACTGGTTCATTAGGTCAATGTACTGGTTTCTTCCTATGCCAAGAAGTCTCAGGCCTGAGGGGGAAAGGAAGTTTTTAAGTCCCTCAAAACAGAGTTATAAAACTATTCTGAGCCAAAGGAACATTATTGCATAGTACTGCTTTCATATGTTGCTTTGCAGACAAACAGCAGAATTTTTAGAAAGGCTGGTAGATGCACCATCTGTGAGAAGATGAATTTGAAGCCTGCCATTTGCTATTGGATATACCCATCCGGGCAGGCACAAGAGACAGGGCCTATTACGTGGTGGCCCCCAGATTATGGTCCTCCCCTTTAATATCCACACCACAGATTTTTAAAAAGGTTTTAAAACATGGCCTTTTTCAAAGCATCTTTTCTTAAATCGGTTATTTTTTCTTCCAATTGGTTTATAACTGGCCTTTTTAATAACTCCATTGCACTTCTATAGTACTGTGAGTCATCTTGGATGTGTTATGCCCCCAAATGGGGCATATAAATGATTTTATAAAGAAACAGATAGGTAGCCGTGTTGGTCTGCCATAGTCAAAACAAAAAAAATCCTTCCAGTAGCACCTTAAAGACCAACTAAGTTAGTTCTTGGTATGAGCTTTCGTGTGCATTGGTCTTTAAGGTGCTACTGGAAGGAATTTTTTTGTTTTTATAAAGAAAGATAGACATCGAAATCATTTTCATGTACAAGCATGCATATTGTCCTGAGCTATCCTCTTATCACACATTTACATCATACAGTTTCAGCCCTAAATAACTTCATCCTTGACTCGAAAGATGCCTTGAAATTCCATCCGAAGCACCCTCACAAATGGAAACATTATTTGATTAACTTGAAACATAAACTGCTTCCTCTTAAGCCCTATGCAGCCCTGAGGTTTCAGACAATGCATGCCCTTGTTACCATTTTTATCAAAGGCAGTCCATAATCTTAGGAGCCTATGGCAAGATATGCCAGGATGAGCAGCTTAGGATGCAGAGGTCGCCAGCTCAGTCATGCTCAGCTGGCATAAAGTCCCCAGCCCCAGAAAAGCAGCATGAACTTGCTCATCCTGGCTCAGCCTGAGTCGAGGCTAGTGTAGGCCCTAAAAAAGGAAGGTGTTATGGGGGCATGGTGAAGGCAGAATGGGGTGCGGTGGGGGACTTAAGATGGACCCTGACTCTGTGCAACTCAACCTTGTGTTCTGGCAAAAAGGGTAAGGGACCCCTGACCATTAGGTCCAGTCATGGCTGACTCTGGGGTTGCGGCGCTCATCTCGCTTTATTGGCCGAGGGAGCCGGCGTACAGCTTCCGGGTCATATGGCCAGCATGACTAAGCCGCTTCTGGCGAACCAGAGCAGCACACGGAAATGTCATTTACCTTCCCACCGGAGTGGTACCTATTTATCTACTTGCACTTTGACGTGCTTTTGAACTGCTAGGTTGGCAGGAGCAGGGACCGAGCAACAGGAGCTCACCCAATCACGGGGATTCAAACCACCGACCTTTGGATCATCAAGCCCTAGGCTCTGTGGTTTAACCCACAGCGCCACCCGCATCCCTAACAAAAAAAGGCAAAAAGGGTAGTGTAAATCAAATACTATTTTAAAGTCTTGTTCTTCCTCTGACAGACTTGGGCCAGCTCAGCCAGCAGCGGTCTTCCTCTTGAAAGGCAGGTGGATCTGGCGTAACTTAATGTCAGCTTGTTTAATGTGTCTTGTGTACAGGATCGCTCTCTTAGCCGTTGTATTGGATCTGTGGGCTTTAGATCTGCATTTGGTGCAGCGAGAAGGGGTTATTTATGTCACCATTTGGTCTGCCTCTGTAATAACACTGTGACAACTGGAAGATGGGTAGCCTCAGAAGTGAGCAACTCATCAGAAGTTATCACTGTCTCCCTCCTGCAGCTGAAAGGCCAGCAATTCAGAAAACCAAGTTAATGGGAAGGATAAAGACATAATATACACACTGGTTCCAAGAATTACTCCCAAGAATTACTGTGCCAACAGCTATCTTTGTTAAAGTTAATGTGCTGCACTGCTAAATGGGTAAAGTGGAACAATTTTAAGTTATGTAAATGCACTTCGTATGGCCTATTGCTGAGGCAACAAGTAATTATTAGAAAAGCACATGCTTAACTTGTGGGTTAGTGTTTTATTTCCATAACTGGTTTGGAGTAAAAAAAATTTATCAGTATTTTTTTTTTTTGTTCTCTTTTCAAACATCAGGCATGTAATCCCCACAATTAAACAAACGTTACAACTTCAAAAAGGAATTGTCATGCAGCTCTGCTTTTAAAACTAGACTTCCTTAAAACATGATTTCCAAATGGAAATTTGTTTAGCTTGTGGAAACAGAAGGAAATCTTATACTTACAGTCTGCAGCAGTAAAGTTGGGCAAACAATCGTAGCTTTTTTCACTGTTCATTATATCCTTTACAAAGGAAAAGGAAAAGTTGCAGTGTCAGCTTGACTCACTGTACTTCTTCATTTCACAACTGTGCACTGATGCTACATCAGTAAATATTTGAAAACTACTTTGCACCCAAACCCCAGTTTATGGAGGCTTTGTGTTTATCTGTTAGCTTGTTTGTTTGGTTTGTTTGCTTGCCGGGGAGGGGAAAGGAGAGGAAATGGAAGTCCATTGGATGTAACCTAGTGAAAACAAAATTCTAACTCAAGGACCTAAAATAAGATGCACAAAATGAAGTAGATTTTAGGAAAAACTAAAACCAGATCTAGATACGCACAGAGTGTGTCCTATTCATTTCAACTGAGAAAAATGATGTGAACACAACAGTAATGCATTTCAGGGTTTCCCTCACCAAAATACATTTGGAGATGGGAGGGGGAGCAGAGAGAGTGAAAAATGGGGGTGGAATTGTAGTGCTCCATTTCTACAATGGCACAGGTCCCATGCTCAGAATGCTGGATTGAGGCACAGGAAGCATGTGAACCTCACAATCCTTATGCCACTGATTTTTCAGCTGCCCTGCATAAATTTCAAAGGATCTCTACCGGTGTTCCAAGGACATAGTGTTTCCCCCTTTCTATTTCCCCTTCGCAAAACAACTTGGGAGGGCTTGCCCAAAGTCACCCAGTAAACTTAATGGGTGAACATGAAAACATGTACCCATTATGCACCAGCTCTGGGATTATTCCAGTTTGGTGATTATGGTAGATATACTTTAGCCAAGACATTAGTTGCTACAATCATCACCAGCAACAGAAAGAGACAGGACTAATGGATTATTCTCTTCCGTGGTATCTTTAAAGGTCTTTAGTTCAACACACAGGGGTAATCCTAGACCCAGTCACCTTGCAACGTAGCAAAAGGTTATAACAGAAATGCATTTGAAGAATGGCAGACCAAGAATAAATCACCCCCCTGAGCTCACTGAAGGAAGGACTGGAGGTAATAAATATAACAGCTCCACCTGCTCCATGCAAAATGCTGCTTTAGCAATACCAGTAACCAAGTGTGCTCTATTGCAGTCCAAGAATGGAAGCAAAAATGGCCTATTTTTGTGGAATTCAGTGGCAAAACTCTCACTAGAAGCAGCAGGGCACAAACTACACATTACCAGCAATTATCAATCAAATCTGCACCACGCTACACATTGTTTCTCCCATATGTTGAGAGGTGACTCAAGCGCTGTTTGCTGCTTTCTCTGAATAGAAGTTTGCAAGCTCCTTCATCAGAGTAATTTGGCTGCAAGCCCAAAATGCCACTGCAAATGGTGACTGCATTTCCTGCCGCTGATTACCAACAGCAGCCTGGCAAAAAGCTAGCAATAATGGGCATGTGACTCCAGCTGGCAGGGATCGTGTTACGCTGAAACGCCACAAACTCCTGGGATGCACAAAATGACTTGTTTAAGCATTTATCTAAACTCACCTCCATTATTCCTGTGTAGTACGAAAAGGGGGTTATCCTCAAGCCTTTCACCATGATGTCAGACAAGTGGTAAGGGTACAACATGAGGTGCTCTCTACTGTATTTCAACAGTTCCTCATAGTATCTGCGTTCATCTTTTTTGACATGCTTAACTGGGAGAGTAAAGAAGGGTCAGCAGGTTGTAGCAACAGTCTCCACAAATCAGTTAGAAATGCTAAGAATTTTATGGGGTGTGAACTTGGGACAGGTTCCAGAGCAAAGCTGAAGCTCCATTTGCACAGAGATTTGGAGCATGCTCTGTGTAGCCACACAGAAGGGGTGGGGGGAGAGAACGCAAAGAGAGGAAGCCATGCAAGTATGCTGCACTTCATGGCACAAAAGAGAGGATATCCTATGCCACATACTATTCCTATTGCAAATGCAATATCATTATTTGATACCGAGTTAGTTCCCAACAATCCAGTCTGAAAAAGAAGGCAGCCAACTAGCAAAGCTCTTGAAGCACAGTGGTACCTCGGGTTAAGTACTTAATTCGTTCCGGAGGTCCGTTCTTAACCTGAAACTGTTCTTAACCTGAAGCACCACTTTAGCTAATGGGGCCGCCTCCTGCTGCCGCGCCGCCAGAACACAATTTCTGTTCTCATCCTGAAGCAAAGTTCTTAACCCAAGGTACCACTGTATGTCCATTTTGTAATAAGGAACTTGGAATAAGCTTGTACGGGGCTGCTAGGCAGCCTGTGGCATGGGGAATGGCCCTATGCAACCTTCCAGACACTTCCTGAAGCTGCCCTGTTCATCCATCTCATCGGTGTCCCCCTTTCCCCTGATAATTTCCTTCTTATTTTTCTTGGCACTTTAAAGTGTTTATTAATACAATTAATAAAAAATGACCAGTAGTGGTAGTACAATTTTACTGAATTCCAGCTGAGGACATGTTTCTCTGATGTAGCTGTTACATATGACAATATCTGTTTTCAAATGCCCTTTCCCCCACTCTGTTTCTCTACTCACCTAAGTTATTTCGGTACCGTAGCTGATTGCGAATACTATAGAGCACAACCTGCTTTTCATAGTCTCGCTGTGAGTTTCCAAGCCCCTATGAGACAAAGCATAGAAATTTAACGAAATGAGTAAAGGAGCAATCCTGTACACAAGAAGCTGGTGTAGAACAGACTGGTGTAATTTAACCTGGTGTAAAGTTACACCAGATCCACACTCCATTCAGCAGTGAGGCTACCGCTGGCTGAGTCAACCTAAGCCTGGCAGAGAAAAAACTAGTGCTTTTGAGTTGTACCACCTTTACTTATGCCACATCACATGACAGAGCTGCATAGGCTTAGGATCCATTGTACATCTTCCCTTTCTGGTCCCACACACAGAACACTCCTTTTCCAGGGTTTACACTGGATTAAGATCTGCTGGGCTGGCTCAGGTAGTTGAGGCCTGGCTGAGCCAGGATGAGCTCACAAACTTCCATCTGAGCCAAGGATGAGGGAGATAAGCCAGCTCAGCTGCAGATGTGCTGGATCCTAACCTCCTCATCCTGGTCGATCTTGAGTGCTGGACCAGTTGTTGATCCTCAGCCCAATAGGTAAATTCACAGCTCAGGCTTGCTGAAAGTTGAACTATAAGATTACCCTTCAAGAGTTTTGTCAAGCAACTCTGCTTAGACCAACAACTGACCTATACACATAAAAGTGGTGCTTTTGTAGTTCTACAGATAATTAACCAACGCAAATCAATACAGAGTTCCTGCAAGAAACTAGGAAGTACATTAGCCTTGTAAATAAGCCCACAAAAAGTGACCAGCCTGGAAAAAGAATATACTAGCCTGCCGGGGACTGGCAAACGAGACACAGAGGGGACCATCCCACCTCCAGATTTGTGCAGGTGCCTATGGCCTTAATACACCATCATTTCCCTAATGCAGGAATAGAGAACCTGTGGTCCTCCAGACACTACTGGACTACAACACCAATCATCCCTGACCAATGGCCACACTGGTTAGGACTGATGGGAGTTGGGGTCGAGCAACACCTGGAGAGCTACAGCTTCCTCATTCCTACCCTAATGTGACATGGGAAGAGCTCTGCTTTGCTCTCACATAATTGGTATTTGAACTTTCCACACCACTGCTTTTTTCTTTTGTACTGTGCCTATAAGATTTTGAGTATCTGGGCAGATTGCCTCGTATTTTAATCTCAATACAGCATATCAAACATTTCAGGCAGATTGCAAGTGGTAGATAACAATGTTTTCCTATGTGTGGCTTTTGAGGGAGGTCAGAGGCATCCTGTAGCTCAGTGGAAGATCCCATGTTTAGCAGAAATAAGGTCACATGTTCAGCCACTGGCATCACAAGTTAAAAACACCTCCAGCAAGAAGGCCAGGGAAAATTTGGGAAACCGCTGCCAGCCAATCAAAAGGAAAATACAGAGCTAGTTGCGCTAATGCTATATATCACAAGACATCTTCATATGTTCATATGCGGCTTATACTTGTAAAAACCAGTGTAAAGCAATTCGAGTGTTGCCCTAGACCACACGCACACGCATCTTCAGTTCATCACCTCCTATGGGTGTTCACTAGCCTACGTCACAGGACACTCCTGAAGAAAAAAAATGTGCTCCCCTTATCTCTCTGGAGGAAAGCTTGGATTAAAATAAACAGGTTCAACAGAAGAATAGCATTAGACTACAGCACAGTGCACAAACTTCAGAACCTTGGTATTCAACTAAGTAACTCAGATCAGACCAACTGAAATTAATGGACCTAACTCAGTAATGCTCATTAATTTCAATGTGTTTACTTTGAATAAAACTTAAACAAATGCTCAAAATCCTATGTCAACCAACTGAGGTCAGCTACAGGGGGGGACTGAACATGCACTAAAAAACAAGGAACAGGGTGTCCCTCAGCATGCACGAGAAATTTGCTTTTAGCATCTGAATGGATTTCACTGCACTTTCACGCAAAAATCCACTTCTACCTTTCCTCTCCAAGGTTTCTTCACTTCAGCAACCTAATTTAGAGCCTTGTTGTTGCAAATGCTTTAAAAAATGGAAAATGGAAAATTCCGTATTGGCATGGTTCCCATATATTACCTAGGTAAATAGAAGTAATATCAGACCTCCAGCCACACATGCTTACTTAGGGAGGGGCTATGTCACAGATAGTTGAAGCCTTGGCAATGCATCCACTGATTCAATTATTTGACAATGTCTCCGCTCAGTTTTCCTTCTTATGTGACTGACGTATGCATGTACTGTAATACACTACCGGTTTTGCAGAAGTTGATCAATGCCATTTTATTACAATACCCATGAAATGCTCTACAAAAAAGGACGAAAGGAAACACTTTCAGATCTACTGCAAAAGATCTACTAGTGCTGTAGATCCTCATCTACCTTCTGTTAACCCCATGTTCAAATTAATCACAATATGCATACAACTGCCTGCAGGAAAAAAGTGGTTGGCTGGCCCTGAAAAGTTGCAGAAGTTTGAGCAGGTGAGGGTGGGCCAAAGTTCAACAAGCTTGACAACAAACATTGACTTGGCAGTACCTGTCCTAATACTGGGGGAAAGGAGAAAAGGGTGAAAAAAAGTTAGCATTTTAGTCTTATCGAGTTGTTTTATTTACCGCATTTTGTGGCACATGTAACATTATGTATATTGGATACCACTGTATGGGGGGCCAACTTGAATAAATACTGGGGGGAGGCCAGATAAGTCCTGCCATGCATATTCATTCACATGACACAGTGCACACACACCATTTAAATGGGAATGCCCAACAACTTGGTGGGGTCCGGCCCCCTCAAATATTTTATCGTGGGGGTCGAAGCCCCCATAGCCCCTAGGAGTTGGCTCCTATTGCAATGTTGCATCCACATGAAAGACAGTAGTGCAGAGATGCTTTTAGCTAACTAACAAATGAACAAACAAGTACCTGGGAGGAAAAAGTTTCTACACACCAGGGGTGAAAAGGGTAATCTGAAGTAGATCAGCCTGCTCCCCATGCCCCCACTACACTGCTGAAATGAATTAAACGTTGGGGTAACTAGCAATGGACTTTGAATCACAGAACTGTGGAGCTGGAAGGTTCCACGAGGGTCATCTAATCCAGTGTTTCCCAACCGGTGTTCCGCGGCACACTAGTGTGCCGCGAGACGTTGCCTGGTGTGCCGTGGGAGGGAGGCGGGCGAGTCGGGCGGCGAGAGGTGGGGCGGCGGCGGCATCTCCTGCTGGATGCAAATCCAAACATGGCGGGCGCCTCCCTCGCTCCTTTGTAGGCGGACCATCGAGAGAGAAAGAAAAGGAGGCGAAAGAGCGAGAGAAGGCGCCTGCGCGGAAAGAGGAGCGAGCAGTGCGCCTGCGCGCCGCGGCGCCCGAGTGCAGTGAAATTCCGTGAAGAGGGGAGGGGGGGCTGGAAAAGAGAAAGGAAAGATTTTTCATTTTTTTTAAAAAAAAAAAAGGAAGAGGGAAAGAAGAGAAAAAGCGGCAGAAGCTGAGGGGAAGGTTTCCGTGAGGGAGAGAGAGAGAGAAACGCGGGGCTGGCGGGACCCTCCTCTTCCGCCACGCGTCGCCCGCCACCGCCTCAGAATCTCCTCAGGAGCGGCGGCGGCCGCTCCCCCTCGCCCCCTTCCTCCCCCCAGCCCCTCCCAACCCCCGGACGAGGGACGCGAGGCGGCGCCGCTGAGAGGACGGGAAGGCCCCCGGCGGCGGGGTCGGCTTGAGCAAGGAGGGGCGAGCGCTAGCCGGCTGGCTCTAGCCCGGCAAGAGGAGGAGGAGGAGGAGCATGCCGTCGCTTCCACAGCGGCCGCCCCACACTCCCCTCCCCGGGCACCGGCGGGGAGAATGACGGAGCTACTGCGGAGACAGCTGGCTGGTCTGTCCGTCCGTCGGTCGGGGCAAAACACACCACAGCGCAGGCAGAGGCAGGCAGGCCCGTCTCTCCCTGCCCCCCCTCGGACCTGGCCGGCCTGGGGTTTGCACCCCAAACATTCATGTCCACCCCAGCTACACAAGCCACACCTTGCTCTCAGTTCGATCTGTCAAATAACTCACCTATCATTCACATAAAGAACCTAGTCTATCCTCAAACGTCAGAATGTACCTCCTCTCTAGCTTCCCCCACTTCATCTAGGCACTTTCAGCCCTTACTTAACCCACCCCAGCCTGCTTACTCTTCCTTCATTTGCTATAAAAACAAAATACAGAGAGACTGAGAGCTGTTGACAAAGAGCTACGTGTGTGTCTTTCTTCGATTCCAGCCAGAATATCAGCTTTGTGTTCAGCCAAACAGGCCCAGGTTGTGCACTGAATAAAGTATTTTATAATTTTTCATATTTCTGTTTACTTACTATTTCATAATAAAGTAATTATAAAATACTTTCTTTGTGTTTATTTGATTCCTATTAAAGAGAGTTACTTTATATATAGTCAATATAGGCACAGAGTTAATTTTTTAAACATTTTCTAATGGTGGTGTGCCTCGAGATTTTTTCATGAAACAAGTGTGCCTTTGCCCAAAAAAGGTTGGGAAACACTGATCTAGTCCAACCCCCTGCGATGCAGGAACTCAACTAGATCATACATGACAGATGGCCATCCAACCTCTGCTTTAAAAAATCCAAGGAAGCAGAACCCACCACCTCTCATGGGAGTCTGTTCCACTGTCCAAAAGTCCCCACCCTGATGTTTAGTGGGAATTCCTTTGCTTGTACAGTGGTACCACAGATCAAGCACTTAATTCGTTCCGGAGGTCCGTTCTTAACCTGAAACTGCTCTTAACCTGGGGTGCCACTTTAGCTAATGGGGCCTCCTGTTGCCACCGCTGCACAATTTCTGTTCTCATCCTGAAGCAAAGTTCTTAACCCGAGGTACTATTTCTGGGTTAGCGGAGTCTGTAACCTGAAGCGTCTGTAACCCGAGGTATCACTGTAACATGAAACCCACTAGCCTCAGGAGCAGAAGAGAGCTAGGTTCAAGTTCTGCTGCTCAAAACATAAAAAACCCCGAATGGGCTTAGCAAGGGGGCTCAAGCCTTCGCCGTTGGCGGAACCTCGGACTTTTTAGCAAAGCACGAAAGCGGAGCCCGAGGAGCCTGAAGTCACCTATCCGACCCCGCTTTTACTGGAGAGCAGACCCACTGAAATCAATGGGCATGTCCCAAGTTGGGTCCATTGCCCGCCCCGTCTCGCTCAGAAGCGAGATCCCACGGAGTTCCTGCTACCCAGAAGGGGAAGCGAAAGTGTAGGCGGAGGTCTCTGCCGATGGCCATTGGCGGGGTACGGCAAGCCAGAGGGGTCAGTTATAATAGGGAGAGCGCTAAGAACCGCTTTTCTACAGGTGCCGGGAGGGGTCAGTCCGTACCTGCTTGACGCTGGCGGGGAGGCGGGCCCAGGGGTAGTTGTGGCGAATGTGGAACTCCACGTCCACATTCATGGCAGGCTCCCCCGGCAGGGGTGGGAAGGGTCGGGGGCGGCGGTTGGCGGCGCCCCCCGCCCCTCACACAGCCTCAGCCCCGGTCCTTGAGGAGCGACGCGGCGGCGGCCCAAAGCTGGACCTTCGCTCAGCCCGCTCTCTCGCCTCTCCTCCTCCTCCTCCCTCTCGTCTCCTCACAGCGCACTTCCGCGTTACGGGCTCCGGGAGCCCCGCCCCTCCGCGCGACGTCGCTTCCGGTCCCCGCGGGCGGGAGGAGCCTCGGAGAACCGAGGGAGTAGAACGCTCCTAAGAACCAATGGGATCGTCCTCTCCTCCTCCACCCTCTCCCTCCTTTCTAAATCAGTACGCCAGAAATGTGAGGGCGGGGCTGGGGGCTTTTAAAGCGGCGGAGGTTCGACGTCTCGGGCGCGTCGCTTTTGCGTCTCCGCTGCAGGCCGCTGTGAAACTACAAGCCCCATGGTGCTTTGCGGGAAACGGCCTTTTTTCCGTTTGTGACGTAACAATTGGCCGCGTGGCTGAAGGGTTCGCCTGAGGGAACAAGGCCGCTTTATTTGTTTGTTTATTATTATTATTTATTGAATTTGTATACCGTCCTTCGTTTCAGTTGCATATCGCTTTATATTTTTAAGGAAGAACTCGAACCACATTAAAACATCAAATAAAACAATCCAGAATAAAGCAGTGCTGAAGAAAATAAAATACAAATTTTAATTAACTTTAGTATTGAAGCAGCATAGTTAACAGGAAACTAAAATATTATATTAAGGTGTTTTCTCTCCCCCCCCGGGGTTATTTCTGCTTTGTATCAGAATAGTAGAGTTGGGAGGGACACCATGGGTCCTCTAGTCCAAGCCCCAATGCAGGATTTCTATAGTGGATTCCTAGAGTATAGATCTATAAATAGGCTTCAGCATAAGGACTAAAATGAGTCACAGGGTTAGAAGGGACCACAAGAGTCGTCTGGTCCACCGCCCTACAATGCAGGAATCTTTTGCCCAATGTGGAGCTCGAATCCACAACCCTGAGATTAAGAGTCTCATGCTCTACCAGCTGAGCTGTCCAGCCATGCCTCTAACCATTATGCAATATTGATATCTTATAATAACAATATTACACCTCTTCCAGCTAGGGATGATGTTCTGTCAATCTTTCTGCCCAGAAAGAATATATGCCTGTTATGTACTGAGTTGAATAGGATCCAAAATGCAGCAGTCTGTTTGGTCCTAGAACAATAGGATCCAGAATGCAGCAGTCTGATTGGTCCACAGGAGCCACACAATCCAGCTCCAGGTGGAAGTGAATCCGCAACCTGATTGGCCTACAGGTGAATCCCGGAATTAGCCAATCACATGGGGCCCATTGTGTAAATAATGTATATAAAGCAGACATTCTGGGGGAAATTCCATTCCTCCTCCCCACTATGAGCTGAATAAAGAGCATGAAATCCACTCTGGACTCCCAAGAATATTTCAATGCCCTAACATGTCAGCTGGGCTCAAATGCTGCACCTGCTTATCTGAGAATAAGGCTCCATTGAACCAAATGGGGTTTACTATTTCTGAGCAGACATTGCGTGTCTTCTCTGAGCTAAGCGGTGCTGAATTCAGGAATGTTGCATTCATTAGTCACTTCTCCACAAAGGGCTCTCAAAGTGGTTTATGGTGCAAAATTAAAACCAAGCAGAAGAGAGAATAAAATAAGAAGTTGCAATGCTCGTTTGTAAATATGTGCAAAGGGGCAGGTCCAACCCACTAGAAAGATGAGCCGAAAAGAATTCATACCAATGGAAGACTTTGTTCTAATACATATGGTGAGGGGTAATCCGGATTGGGATCACAACAGCATCAATTAGCTTGAAAAACAACCCTTTCTGGATTGCCTGCTATTTGCCTGCTGGTCTATCTCCCTTAGCCTCATTTACGCAGGCTGGCATTGGCTCTCCAAGCTTTCAGTCAAGGGTCTCTTACAGCCCTACCTGGAGAGGATGGGGACTGAACCTGAAACCTTCTGCATGAGCCATGACCCTTCTTCATGCAATTAGTGTCTTGTCTAGTTTGGGCTTCGAATGCCCGTTGTTGACACTCTATTCATAACTCAAAAAAACATTGTGCAATGGCCAACCTATGGTAAAAAGTGGACTGCAAGAAGATCAAACATATCCATTCTTAAGGAAATCAGCCCTGAGTGCTCACTGGAAGGACAGATTGTGAAGCTGAGGCTCCAATACTTTGGCCACCTCATGAGAAGAGAAGACTCCCTGGAAAAGACCCTGATGTTGGGAAAGATGAAGGGCACAAGGAGAAGGGGACGACAGAGGACGAGATGGTTGGACAGTGTTCTCGAAGCTACCAGCATGAGTTTGAACAAACTGCGGGAGGCAGTGGAAGACAGGAGTGCCTGGTGTGCTCTGGTCCATGGGGTCACGAAGAGTCGGACACGATTAAACGACTAAACAACAGCAACAACAAATGTTTCCTATGATCATCAAATAATACTTGGAATTTTCTTCTCAACCTGCAGGTGTCAGTCATTCGCTATTTTAATACTCATCAGTTGCAGCGAGAAGGCCCATCTAGAGATTGTTGATTCATTCCTGTGGAAAGTGGCAGTGCATTTGAAAGTGTGTGTTTGCAGTTGCGGACACTTGCCGAAGCTGCTCACTTATATTTAGACTTGTAGCTCTCCCTATCCTGAAGCCTAGGCAACTGGCTTTAAAAGTTATGCATATCTATCGGAATGAAAATCTACAGACAAAATTCCCAAACTGAATGTGCCCTCTTATGTGCTCCATAAACCTTAGTGGTCTGCTTAGATGGGGCCAACGGTAGGGGAATCTGGCCTTGCCCATTCTTGCATAGCTACTATATGGCCGTCTATGGCTCTCTATTTAGGAAGGCCTTTGAATAAGATATTGCCAGATCTCAGCTATTAGACTATACCAACTGGCCTCTCTTCCTCAGGGAGGTCCATCTGACAACTTTGCTGACATCATTTTGGCAGCGCCATTGAAGACTTACCTTTTTTGGCCTTTGATGGACTGAGGTGGTTTTGCTGAACTGTTAGCTTGGCGCCAAAGCTTCCTGTGGCAGTTGTGTGTGTGTGTGTGTGTGTTGCATCTGTTCTATGTGTATTTCCACTGGTATAATATACGGTAAGTCACTTTGAGACCTTTTAAGTAATAAGTGACTAATGTTTAAATAACAATGATGATGATAGGCTCCTTTATATACACATGTACCCTATAAATTTCAAAATTGTTCCTTCCTCCAAAATTCCTGTTTCAATGTGTTGTGCCACACAGCAGGTGGAATCCATCACCCTGATTACACTAGTAGGACTGCAAGAAGTTTTGTAAAGTGGATTATCTGAAATATTACAAGAAAGATTATGAAAAGAATTATTAGTTAAGGCAATTAAATGCAATATAGAAATTAAGAAATGCAGAATAAGTGATAAAGAACGGAAAATCATAGAGGTGTTGACGGAAGTCTAAAACATTGTATAAGATGAGAAGATATGTTGTATGATTACTGGAACTGATATGTTAAAAAAGCAATAAAAATGTTTATATATATATATATAAAAGGAATCCATCGCCCTGAATGGAGGAAACTAGAGGGCAGGGCAGGGCAGGGCAGGGAAAGCCTCTTCCTTAAATTTGTAAGGGAGAGTTAATTTGGGCTGCCCCATATGCTGTATTAAGTCTTCAGTGCTAAATCACAGGCTACAAGCTCTAGGTTCAGCAGGATGTGGAACCTGTGGCCCACCAGATGACGTTGGACTCCAAGAACCATAAGCCCTGCTCACCTGATCAGGGGATGATGGGAGTTGTAGTCCTGCAACATCAAAAGGGCCAGAGGTTCTCCATCTCTGCCCTGGTTCTTCTGTCATAATGTGGTTTAATTTTTTTAAACAACAACTTCTACTCTTTTTTTCATGCACATGATATGTTCCATTTAACTTCAGTAGCACAGGCAGGCTCCTCCAAGGAAATGAAGTTGGCCCTAACGCATCTCCTCAAAAGAGGAATTGCATCACCGAAGTAGAAAAGAAGACAAAAGAGGACATTTGCTGTACTTGAATAAAAAGTGCATATGCTCATTCATATGTATAGATGCAAATTTGGAAATAATAGTTGTCATTGAAACGGAAACACATCTCGCCATAGTATACTCTGATCTGAATCCATCTTTTGATTCTTCAGAGTACTTAAGCTTAATTTGCTTGAACGACACTGAGTACCATCAGAATGTAAATGATCCAGCAGAAATGTCAGTGTGGTTCTTTGGGGACTTGATCATAACACTTAGCTAATAAAGTGAAGAGTCGCCCAAGCCCACAGACAGCATCATATATTAAATGTTACAGAACATTAACATTCCAGCGAACAAACCCATCAGTCTCTCTCTCTCATCTGTCTAACCTCCCACTCGGCTCAGAAGAAGACAGCAACTGAAGCTCAGTTCTCTTTCATTTTCCTCCCACACATCAGAAAGCCCATCCTAAAGGAATCGAAAACCAACAGTTGAGGAAGTAGGATGTATCTTCCTTCACATACGAAGGAGTTCTCTTAATGAACTGTCTGAACCACATCCAGTTTAAAGATAAAAGATCATCAGAAAGGAGATCTTTCTTCAAGTTGCCCATCAACAGTTAGCACCCAAACTGTGGTGAAATATACTCCCATCTCTGTTTAAATGATGATATTTATTTTTGAATTTGTAGTGATGCACAAAATTTATGCAAATCTGTGCCCTCTTTTTTGGCAATTCATAAGACATGGGTTGCCAATGCAGTTCCTGCCGTTGCTAGTGTGCCCCTGAGTATCTGCTATGGGGCATGAAGAAGGTCATATCCATTTTGTGTTCTGCTACACCCCCACGGCATCCTTTTTGTGATATGCCACACCGCCCAGGGTAGCCATTTTGTGACCGGTACCCATGGCACTTTCTCAGGATTCTAAATACAGTGGTACCTCGGGTTAAGTACTTAATTCGTTCCAGAGGTCTGTTCTTAACCTGAAACTGTTCTTAGCCTGAAGCACCATTTTAGCTAATGGGGCCTCCCACTGCCACCGGAGCACGATTTCTGTTCTCATCCTGAAGCAAAGTTCTTAACCCGAGGTACTATTTCTGGGTTAGCGGAGTCTGTAACCTGAAGTGTATGTAACCTGAAGCGTATGTAACCCAAGGTACCACTGTA